ATTCTTGCATCGAGATATTATAGTAGGTCACTAGAGGTATACTATCGTGCTTTATAATTGACCCATTATGCAAATGAGTATGCACGAGAGGAGTGAGACATGTAACATTTTTAGAGAAATTGTTTTCATTTTGGAATTAATTATTACTACCTGCGTTTATTATCATATAAAATTGCTTTTTAGCAAAATAGAAGATTCGATTTTTGTTAAAATTATAAATTCTTCCTTTTCTAGAATTAAAAGCTCCGACTTTTTTAAAATCACACGATTCTTTTGTGGAATTAAAAATTTATTTTTTGAACGAAGAATCCTTTCATTTTTAAAATTGTTATTAATAATTTTGTCGATATGTTCAGACGCTATAATCGAGAAAGAACATAATTTACTGCAATGAAATCTTATCCATTAATTTTTATGGAATTTATGGCAAGACTATAGAGTTTCAACTACTGCTGGACTATGGATTTCTAAGGAAAAGTTACCTAATGTTAAATCACTAAATTCAGAGAACCGGTTGCTCACATAATACCTTGCGCAACATGTTATAAAAACAGTTCTAACAAATTAATTTTCTTTTGGAAAAGATCATTTTGAATTTTCAGTTGTAATTTCCAACGAGGTATCAGACAGGGTATTCTTCGTGAAATACTTATCTACGTATACTTATTTCCATCTCAAAATATTGCTAAACAAAAAGAATGAGGAAAATTTCTCTACTGAAGATCCTTAAAACTTATTACATATTTCTAATTACAAAAATGTAAATAATCATTAAAAGACAGGAAGAAATAATCATATATAATTTAATATATGTATAAGAATTATTATTAAAAATTAAATGCATCAAGCTTCAATTTCATTGCTAATACCAATTTTTAATACAAACTTCTAATTATCCGAATTCTTTAGTTTATGTATGTAAACATAAATAATTAAAGCCAGAAACAATTCTAAAGAAAAATAAAAAAATACACGTGAAAATCAGTGAACATCTATACCAGCAAAAAAATAAACAAATAATTAAAATAAAGAAATAATTGGAAAGAAAATTAAAGAAATACACGTGGGAAATCAGTGAATATCTATACAAGAAAAATAAAAATAATTAAAATAAAAGAATAATTGGAAAGAAAAATAAATAATTAAATTAAAAGAATAATTGGAAAGAAAAAAAGGAAATAAAGGTGAAAATCAGCGAACGTCTATACAAACCCAAAAATAAATAAATAATTAAAATAAAGAAATAACTGGAAAGAAAAATAAAGAAATGCGCGTGAAAATCGGTGAATATCAGTACAAAGAGAGAACAAAAATAAATAATTAAACTAAAAGAATAATTGAAAAGAAAAATAAAGAAATACACGTGAAAATCAGTGAACATCGATACAAACCCAAAAATAAATAAATAATTAAAATAAAGAAATAATTGGAAAGAAAATTAAAGAAAGACACGTGGAAAATCAGGGAACACCTATCATACAAACGATCCAATTTTCCAAACAGTTTCCCCATGTGCTCTCACAAATGAGTTTCTACATTTCGTAACAGCATAGTAAGCTCGGTGACGCAAATCGGTTTCGTTCGTCCACCCTTGTACGCGCGGTTACGCGCGATTCTTCGTGTTCTCTTCTTCCGGAACTAAACCACCGTCTTCCTATTGAAACACTTTGACGGAAGTACTTGGCGATTCGCGGCGAATCGGTACGGTTTGCACCGAAAATGGCAGCAGGAAACCGATTTCAATGACTTGTTGGACTCCGCTCGAAGAAACCATACACGCTCGAATGGTCATGTCTGCTACTGGTCAAGTCGAGAGAAATTATCGCGAATTTGTCGCTAACTGCTTGAAAATTCGAATTCCAAACAGACTTTGGAACAGAGTCGCCTCTGCGTGCTCGCCATTTTTGGAAACCTAATCCAATCTATTCGAAATATATTTCCAACAAAACCTAAGTAATTAATAATTTACAAGTAATCAATAATTAAAAATTTTCCTTTATTTTTCTATGTCCACCTGTGTTCAAAGAAGAAATTTCCAAAAAATTTCTTATCAACTTTCTTATCCCCTACTTTTAACTTTTATGTCAATGGAAAACGTAATTAATACGTGACTCATTGATAAAAATTTCAGAAAAGTTCCAAAATCGTACAAACGTAATATAATTATTCGAAACCTGGGAATTATTTTGTGACTGACTCTATCATTCAGTATAGAATTATTATAATTATTATTGATTTACTGATACGTGTAACAGAATTTGTAATCTAGCCAACTCACTTGCTGACTTAAACTTTTTCAATTTATCCTCAGACAGTTTGAAGGCTGAGCCAATCAGATTGCTAGAGGTTACAAATCTTTAATTATAAGCACTGCAATACTTTGCAGTCTCCTTTAGCGTGCTTATAATGTAGAACAATGTACCCTCCTGTATAAGTTTGTATGTAATCGTGCTCCTTTTAGTTTTATTTTTACTTCTATTTATTTAATTATTTTTATTTTACTGTATTACTTCTTTATAAAAAAAGAATAATTGGAAAGAAAAATAAATAATTAAATTAAAAGAATAATTGGAAAGAAAAAAAGGAAATAAAGGTGAAAATCAGCGAACGTCTATACAAACCCAAAAATAAATAAATAATTAAAATAAAGAAATAACTGGAAAGAAAAATAAAGAAATGCGCGTGAAAATCGGTGAATATCAGTACAAAGAGAGAACAAAAATAAATAATTAAACTAAAAGAATAATTGAAAAGAAAAATAAAGAAATACACGTGAAAATCAGTGAACATCGATACAAACCCAAAAATAAATAAATAATTAAAATAAAGAAATAATTGGAAAGAAAATTAAAGAAAGACACGTGGAAAATCAGGGAACACCTATCATACAAACGATCCAATTTTCCAAACAGTTTCCCCATGTGCTCTCACAAATGAGTTTCTACATTTCGTAACAGCATAGTAAGCTCGGTGACGCAAATCGGTTTCGTTCGTCCACCCTTGTACGCGCGGTTACGCGCGATTCTTCGTGTTCTCTTCTTCCGGAACTAAACCACCGTCTTCCTATTGAAACACTTTGACGGAAGTACTTGGCGATTCGCGGCGAATCGGTACGGTTTGCACCGAAAATGGCAGCAGGAAACCGATTTCAATGACTTGTTGGACTCCGCTCGAAGAAACCATACACGCTCGAATGGTCATGTCTGCTACTGGTCAAGTCGAGAGAAATTATCGCGAATTTGTCGCTAACTGCTTGAAAATTCGAATTCCAAACAGACTTTGGAACAGAGTCGCCTCTGCGTGCTCGCCATTTTTGGAAACCTAATCCAATCTATTCGAAATATATTTCCAACAAAACCTAAGTAATTAATAATTTACAAGTAATCAATAATTAAAAATTTTCCTTTATTTTTCTATGTCCACCTGTGTTCAAAGAAGAAATTTCCAAAAAATTTCTTATCAACTTTCTTATCCCCTACTTTTAACTTTTATGTCAATGGAAAACGTAATTAATACGTGACTCATTGATAAAAATTTCAGAAAAGTTCCAAAATCGTACAAACGTAATATAATTATTCGAAACCTGGGAATTATTTTGTGACTGACTCTATCATTCAGTATAGAATTATTATAATTATTATTGATTTACTGATACGTGTAACAGAATTTGTAATCTAGCCAACTCACTTGCTGACTTAAACTTTTTCAATTTATCCTCAGACAGTTTGAAGGCTGAGCCAATCAGATTGCTACAGGTTACAAATCTTTAATTATAAGCACTGCAATACTTTGCAGTCTCCTTTAGCGTGCTTATAATGTAGAACAATGTACCCTCCTGTATAAGTTTGTATGTAATCGTGCTCCTTTTAGTTTTATTTTTACTTCTATTTATTTAATTATTTTTATTTTACTGTATTACTTCTTTATAAAGGGTGTTAATCCGTCAAATAAATAAATAAATAAATAATTACTAACCAAACAAAATTTGTTTAAAGTACTCTTTCTGTAACGAATATTTTACAGCTAAGGTAACTATTGTATAGAAATCCTAATCGATATAGTTAGGATGTAGAACAATGTATCCTCCTGTATAAGTTCCTATGTAATCGTGTTCCTTTTAGTTTTATTTTTACTTTCATTTTATTATATTACTTCTTTACAAAGGGTGTTAATCCATCAAATAAATAAATAAATAAATAATTACTAACCAAAAACAAATTTTTTAAGATACTCTTTCTGTAACGAATATTTTATAGCTATCCTAACTATTATATAGAAATCCTAATCGATATAGTTAGGATGTAGAACAATGAATCCTCCTGTATAAGTTTCTATGTAATCGTGTTCCTTTTAGTTTTATTTTTACTTTTATTTTTTAAATTATTTTTATTTTACTGTATTACTTCTTTATGAAGTGAAATAAATAAATAAATAAATAAATGATTACTAAGTAAAACAAAATTGTTTAAAATACTCTTTCTGTAACGAATATTTTATAGCTATCCTAACTATTATATAGAAATCCTAATCGATATAGTTACTCTATACCTAAACTCCATCCAGAGTGCCAGCACTGATCACTGACACTGGTTACGTGATCACAATTAAAATTCCCACGATTCTTTCATCGCAGTCTCTCAGGCATATGACATTTCTCTGCTGTATCCGGGAAAGAATCGGAAAAAAGCGTATAACAGTTCTATCTAAGGAATTCGACATCCACATTTTTCCAAGTAACTAAACTGGTCTGCGCGCAGCGAGACACGCGCTCCTTTGTAGAAAGTGAATACGTGAAACGCGTAACTTCTCGATAAAAAAGGAAGAAAAAGATGGAAGAAAACCGAGAGGAAGAGGAAAAGCGATTTAATTGAGTCGAGTTGAGTCGATTGAGTCGAGAAGAAGACGGAAAACGGAGGTCTTAAATTAGCAGGATGACGATGACCGGTGGAACTCGTGGCGACTATGAGATCCTAGGTGACTCATTGTAGGAGTACACTTACCTCTCGTATGTCTTCGTAGACATCCTTGAGGTCGTCCTCGAGAAGTCGGTAAGGGTCGACTTGATAATCGTGCAGAGATCCAGGCAGCTGCGTTTGCATCGAGCTCATCATCCTCACGACGTTCGTCCTGCAGTCCCGTGTGCTTGTACTACTCTGCATGGAAGAGGAATTCATTATTAATGGAAAAGAAGAAACGCGTTCGATAGAAAGTTGAAGCGTGATCCGAAAGACTTAACTTGGAATTCGTAAGTTCTTCGCAACCTCGTGTGAATATTTGTCGGAAATGTGTGTATGTCAGACGTGATTCGTTGCTTCCTTAGTCAAATTTTTGTCGTTTTCAATCAATTATATATACAATTAATAATTAATAAATTAATATCAAGTTTTAAGAAGTTTTTTTATTTGGCATTAAATTTTAAATTCGAATCCAAGTATATAGTAAATTTTTCGATGAATATTAAGGAAGAATATTTTATTATAATATCATACCTAATTTACATCTATGTCAAAATAAATGATGATATTAAGCTTTTATGTAATACAATGATTGCATTAATAATAAATTAATAATCGATAAATTAATATCAAGTTTCAAGTATTTTTTATGCGATATTAAATTTTAGATTCGAATTTAAATTAATATTAAGTTTTTCGGTTAATTATTTAATAAAGATGATATTAAGTTTTCATGTAATATAATAATTGTATTAATAATCAATGTGACGTTAAATTAGAATGATATACAAATCCATAATTTAATATCAAGTTTTAAGTATTTTGTAATTCATATTAAATTTTATATTCGAATCTAAGTTAATATTAAGTTTTTCGATTAATATTAATTCTGTTATGAAATAGATATAGACTAAGTATAATGAAAAATATTAAAAATTTGTGGAATACAGTAAACATAATTAAGTCGTATTAAATTCTTGCAATGCAAAAATTGCACATAAGCTTGAAGTACCTTAAAAATGGTATAAACTTGCAATCTGTGGCGAGATTAAGTTATTTTTCGATAATACGAAGAATTATTTTCAACGCCATCATTCCTCTATCAAAATTATTAAGAAAATCATCGACCAATAAGAATTCGAGAAAAATTGAACAAAAGAAATTTGCAAATTTATAATTAATACACGCTAATTTTTCACGGACGAAAATACAGCAGTAAAAAAAATATAGCTAAGGAATGCAAAAAATAAAAAAACATACTATTTAAACGCCCAAGTAATTACCAACTAATTACTGTTAACTAGCAGCGATGGAAATGTGTAATTTTATTAATAAAATGCTTTCAGTATCGTATCACGGAGCATATAGAACATAAACAAATCGTATGAACTGTGTGCAACGATTCAGTATAGAATTACGTGTGCTCGTAACTATGAAACGTTGACATAGCAGATCATTGAGAATAAAACACCCGAGGCGGTGCAAATAGCGGAACATTCATTTTATGAATGTCTTGAGCACGTCGCGTGCTGATAGTAGTAGTAGATAGTAGCGCGTCATTTAGTCTGATCATATATCGCCATTTACTACTACGCTGCGTCCCGCCGCGTGTGTCATTGATTTTACTACTCGAGGAACGTTTAACACGATATTCATCCACTTTTTCACGGTTCATTCGAAACCTATAATCTTTCTCGTGTTTTATACACTTCCACTGATAATAGAAGGCTATCTTTACGTAATTAATGACCTGATTTTTTCTCATTCTTCAATTGGAAATTTCAAATGCCAAGTATTTATCGTTTACATCGTGTTTCGTTTTAAATTACAAATTACGCGTGTTTCTCGGAATTATTATTACGTTACATTGTTACTGGAGCATTATTTTATTTTATTCCACTTTTTTCTTTTTTTTTTCTTTTTTTTTTTGTTGGTATAGGAATAGATGCTCGTTGAGATAAGTTCGTGGTGAATTTACAAATTGCTATAATAACGTATGATAATGATCTATCTGATCTCTTACTCACTTTTCTAGGACTCAAGGCAATTTGCTTATAATAAGCATAATGTACCGTTATCTTGTATTATAATAATCTTGATTTTACACATATTACTTTTCATTCCAATTGAAGACAATTTATTCGCTATTACTGTTATAGCTGTTTCTCCATATTTATCTCTCGTTCTACCTGATCACGTCATCTACTCTTCGATTAATTTTCAATATATATTGACAAATGTAAATTTCGAATAGTCTTCGAATTCGTGAAACATGAAACTCTAAATCCTACCAAATTACGATGTTCCTGGCTCATAAATATCACCCCGAATCCGACTTTTGAAACAGCCTGTACGATATAATTACGCAGCTTCCGCAATTTCTATTATCTCGCGTTGAAAACTATAATAGCGAATATTTTTCAATTAATTAAAAAAAAATCCGTAATTTCCTTGGAAAAAATTCTCTGCTTGACCACATTACTAGGACGGTAATTATCCCTAGGCTGGTAATAAAAAATCAAACTTTCCTGCAATTAAATCGTCGCTTCTATTTTCTCCTCGGGCACAGCAACTCGTACGCTACTGGTCTCTCTCAAAACCGGCGAGAAAATTCCCCCAGACCCAGTTCTCCCTTACTCCTGTAACATTCACCCGATTCACGCCGATTTCTCGTCGGCGAGCATCGAGCACGCGGAATACGTAATAGGGCGTTTCACGAAGTTGCGACTGTTATTTACAAGATCCGTCATTCCCGCGACTGTTTACGTTTCGTGGGCACGTAATGGGTTACCGGCGACCAAGTCTCCTTCCCAGTTCTCGCCACTTTAGCTGCGATGTGCCAGGACGACATTCTTTCGCACGGCGAACACCGATGCCTACTTTCGTCATCGGGTCTCGATTCCGATTCCCCGCGATTTCTTCGCATTCACCGACAACCACGAACACCTCCGGACCTCGACACAGGTGCGCGCAAGTAGCCGGCGGCCTCTGGGACCAGTTGAAGGATTGGGCATGTCAGGATGCAAGTAAATGGCAGAAACGTCGTTTCACAAGTTCGCATCTCTGCCGGCGGATTAATCGAGGCCACGACAGGCAAATACTGCTGGTATCTGGTAGGGACGCGTTAGACGCAGTGTCTGAACTATTGCGTCGTCGATGAAGGTTCATCGTCCTTCCATATCGAATCTTTTCAGGTGTTAGTAAGTTTAGAAAAGAGTGAAAAATGGTAACATTCGAGAAGAAATTTCTTCCTCGTGAAATTTATTAAAATTCGAAATTCTTTTCTTCCTAGTCGTCGACGAAGGATCATCGTCCTTCGATATTGAATCGTTGCAGGTGTTAATAAGTTTGGGAGAGAGTGAAGAAAATGGTAACATTCGAGAAGAAATTTCTTCCTCGTGAAATTTATTAAAATTCGAAATTCTTTTCTTCCTAGTCGTCGACGAAGGATCATCGTCCTTCGATATTGAATCGTTGCAGGTGTTAATAAGTTTGGGAGAGAGTGAAGAAAATGGTAACATTCGAGAAGAAATTTCTTCCTCGTGAAATTTATTAAAATTCGAAATTCTTTTCTTCCTAGTTCTCGATAAAGGATCATTGTTCTTCCATATCGAATTTTTGCAGATTAATAAATTTAGAAGAGTGTGAAAAAAGGTAACATTCGAGAAGAAATTTCTTCCTCGTGAAATTTATTAAAATTCGAAATTCTTTTCTTCCTAGTTCTCGATAAAGGATCATTGTTCTTCCATATCGAATTTTTGCAGATTAATAAATTTAGAAGAGTGTGAAAAAAGGTAACATTCGAGAAGAAATTTCTTCCTCGTGAAATTTATTAAAATTCGAAATTCTTTTCTTTCTAGTATTGGTAATTTGTAGCTACACTTTTGGAAATTGAACATTTTATTTTTCATTGCAGTGAAATTTCTTTTCATATTAAAATTGGAATACTTAGATTTTTGTTCTATGAGAAATTCCTCCTTTCTTGTAATTAAAAATTCTGTAATGTATTCTGGGCTAAGAGAGAAAAGGGTTCCTCACCTATTCGAACTGAGAATTATTTCCTCGTTAAAATTAGAGACCTCAATCGCCTTGAAATAATTGAAGTTAAAAATGAACTTTAATTTTTTTAATTATAAAATTCTTTGTATTATTCGAATTAGAAATTCCGTAGTATGATAATAAAAGTCCCTCGATTATAGCGTTTTTAACGTTTTGCGTTGAGAAACAAAGAATCTAAATAGACGATCAAGACCTTCCACCGTCCTCAAAGGCAGCAGCGTTTCCCACCATTCATAAATTTAAATATGCATGATCGTGAACGATGTAGATCAAGTACGTCCACGATTATCCTTTTCTCCGCGTAACCTCGTGCAAATAAGCCGATCGATTAATCAAACTACCTCCAATATTGAGTTAATAAAAGCGAAAATTCCACTCTCGACTTTCATAATCGCATCTCCAACGCGTTTTATACTTGACAAAGGCTCAACCCTCAATATAACTCCCTTATTTACCCATAAATACTCTTCCAACACCTACCACGATTTTGCAACTTCACCTCCATCGCTCCAATCCACGCGAGAAATACACACGACACTCAAGGAATATAAAAATTCAATGAATATTAAAATTCGAAGAATATTGAAATTTAAAAAGTATAAAAATTCAAAGCATATTGAAATTCAAGGTATATTTAAATCGAAAGAATATTAAGATTCGATAAATATAAAAATTCAAAGGAAATTAAAATTCAAAAAATATTCGTGTCACAAAGAAACGAGAAAAAGGTACTCGTCGTAATCAATAACGTTCTACTAATAACGTTCTACTAAGAATAATCATGTCACAAAAACTGGCTCTAGAAAAGGGTTCTCGGCTCTTTGGAGTAGAGAAGCACCGAGTAGAATTATCTCGCTCATCATCGAGATCATTCATTCCCGACAATTGCAAGAAGTACAGAATGCGGTCACCTATAAAAATGAACTTTAAATGGCGGGTTCGCGCGGCCGCAGCGCGGCGCTACAGTCGCGCGGCAATGGCGGCTTCCGTTTAATGGCGGCGGCCCGGTCCGGGTTAACCTAAAATGAAACGGCCGGTATGTTTATAGGAGGATATGCAACATTGAGCAATGACCGTGTTCGATGTGTGTCCATGCGTGTCATGTGATTTCCATGGCACGGTATCCGCTTATTACATTC